CTTCCGGAGACCTTTTTCGAGTGGTAGGGTCTCCTAAACTCACACAACTTAAGAGCTATACCATAGCGTTTACAACAGTTAAAAAAGAAAGATGGGAAGACTGACCTACAATTGTCTTCTTTTTCCGGCTGTATTCAGTGCATTATTTGGCAATTTTACTACCGTAGTTTAATTGAAGATATGAATACCAAGATGTTGTGGCCTTTTCTACGAAATAACTCAAAAACTACGACCAGTCCATCTCATTTATATGATCTACTGTTAGTCTCGAAAACCTACTTATAAATTATGTCAAGATCTTCGCAAATGGTAACCTTCGAAAGTACCGGTAACTCTTCAACTAGAGCTTTCTTCATGCTGGGTTGCAGGAGGTGGTGAAGGGCTGATTGTGAAATTTTCCCACCACTACGATGTCATTCAATTTCACTTGACCCTGCCTCACGCAACGCATTATCATCCCAAAATGGACTGTTGTTTCGACCACAAATATCGGGTTTTCTTTTTCTCTTCACATCTGCATCCACCTTAGGTCGCGTGTGTTGCATTTTTCACACAATCATATGACCAGATCACACAAGACCATTAAATCGCGCGTGTCCTTGCCTTTCAAAAGCTATTCGCGTCCAGCCTGCCAGTGGGTCGCAGAGTATATGTGATTTCCATTGTGACGCAAAAATAGAAATGTGACTCATCCATATTCCCGCTCCATTTGTGATCTTTATGTGAAATTATTCACGGGAAAAATTCACAAAGTAGACCTCCACTTTATGTGACTCAGTAGGAATGCTGATAGTATCGAAACGTGCTCATTATGAATATTCTTTTCAATTAATCGTGGGCAGATTTAATTACATTTGGGCTAGTTGGTACGTGGATTCATTCTTGCCATCAGTTCTCTGAGCATCTCATTTTTGCCATTTTCTCTCTCTTTGCAGATGGTACTTTGGTGAGATGAAGCGTCTTGAAGCTGAGCAGTGCCTTCTTTTGTCTGGCAACAAGCACGGTGCCTTTCTTGTTCGCATCAGTGAGTCGCGGAGTGGCGAATTCTCGCTTTCTGGTGAGTCGTGTCTTCTATAACTCAGTAAGTATCATCCTCAAAATAACATAACTTGATGAATCCCCGTTGAGCTTTCGTATATACTCTGTTTTCATATTTCGTTAGAACATGAGGCCAACTTTTGCTTTAAAACGAAACTTCGAATCAGATTACACAAATTCCATTTGTCTGCATGGCAACCTTGCGGCAGATGTTTCTACGGGAATGCAGAATGATGAGGAAGAAGAAAGAAGTGAAAGTTAGAGCGAAAGCGTCACTTTGAAACGGACAATTTGTCTGCATGCAACTTCACACAGATCGTGTCTACTTCGAGAGACCAAATCTTGAGTGATTTTTCTGGAGACACCTTTCTTATAGGCACGTTTATTCTATGTGAAATGCCTGATGAAGCCAAGTCAAGGTACGACGAAGATTTATGTTTCTCTGGAGCCGTTTCGCTGATGTTCACGTTGATGCAGCCCATCAGGCGACCTTCTTCGGTTCTGACGAAAGTGGAGTGAGCCCACGTCTGTCATACCCCCTCAAAACTGGATCCTATTCTTGCACAGACTTTACGCTTACCAAAAGTCAAGATGAGTAACCAAAAATAGAAAGAACAGAAAAATGGAAATATAAAATTATTTGTTTGCGATGCATTCGGCCTATTTCGTTGAAGGCAACGAAGCTCCCCTTCCAAAAAGGCATTCTCACCCAGCGGGACTCGAGCCTGGCGGCGGTATCGCAGTGTACAGTCTCGACGCGCTAACCACTGGGCCCATCCATTCTAGATGAAAATATCTTTATATATATATATATATATATATATATATACTACTGGTTTGCCTACTTTCATGTCAACTCAATTATGTGTGTGTGTGTGTGTGTTTATAAACCCGCCAATCAGAAGTGAGTGTAACATCAGCAGATTCGTGACCTCTTTTGTCCAATCCCAAATGTACGTTTGGTTGAGTGGTGATGTAAATAGGGTGAAAAGCATCAGTAGACGCCTATCAATCAGGACCTGGCAGTTCTCATTCTCCACTGCTTATATCCAAACTGTTGCCATATCTACCAATCTCAACAGCATAATCGGCAGGCCGGTGTGTGTGTTTTTTGTCTGACGAATGGACGCACAATTCTTTATAAGAGGAAGGGCTGGGATTCATTTTTCAATTAAAATAAAATGCTGGTAGGAAAGCATTCTTGAACCGGCCTCACGGGAAATCCAAGAAAGAGATCAACCTGCATTGTGTGAACAACTCTGAGCCTACGCCTGTACCGCCGTGACAGTCAGTCTCCGAGCGAGAGAGAGCAACATTTGCGAAATAACTCACCAAATGCGCCACAAGAAGGACGGCCGACTGCAGTCGTTCATATCTACTTTTACGATCCTAATGAGTCATGCCAAAGTGATCCGAATTTTAGCCTTAATAAGTTAGCTGGAAAGTTGGAGGATGCTGTGTTTGCGTCTGACGACGTCTGTAGTGGTCAGCCAGACGAAAGCTCAGCACGGATGGATGGTATTCTTGGTACAATCCAAGGCAGTCTCGGAGAGGGTCGCTTCACGACTTCTATCCAGCCAACTTTATCTTCGAAATTGAAAATTGAGTCATTTTTGTCTTGACCTCCCTTTTAGGCGCGTCTTTATGCCAAGCCTTCTTTATGACCTTTAGCGGCCTACTGTATGAACTGATTTTCTTCCGCAAAACAGCCATCTCACTTGAACCTGGAATCAGCTGATTGCTGTCCATCTGGAT